TCGGAAATTCGAACGATATGCTCTTTTTAATTATTTCGTGATACTGGTGTTGAATTGAATTTTATACGTTTTAAGTACGAATAACACAATATTTAACAAATAAAGGTAACATACAAAACGTTAAAAAAACTCTCTTTTGGCTGTAATGTAAAATCTGAAAATTTTCAGATTTTATTAATTTTTCTTTACGTATTTATTAGCTAGTGCTTTTTTTTAATTATTTTTCCAAATTTTTCAAATTGATACTTGCATTTAATCTTTCAGTTGTTGTTATCATTGTTTTTGTGACTTACCTGACTTTTTTAACACAGAAATTCAGAGTGGCAAGGAGTAAAAGATTGCGCCTATCGTTCGCAAGAGCTTTGATCCCCTTACAGGTAACAGTGAGACTTATCTCAGTTCCGCCTCTAATTTAGATGAGAGCGCCCCCGGGGGGGGATGGGTCCGAGGATTTCATCCTCTTTCCCTACCATAACCTTTTGAGAGTATTTTCGGCAGGCCGCATATATATTTAGCAGGCCCATTCCGCATGGATGCTATACACTTGCAAACATCCATGCCTTCTCCGGAATTTGGACACCGGCCGTTCGGTACCGCAGTAGGCTCGCCTAACACTGTCCGTCTGGGCGGGTATCTTTTACTCTTTTAATTGTGTAGGGTTAAGGTTGTGAGGTCGTATTTTATTTTATTTTATTTTATTTTATTTTATTTTATTTTTTTTTAATATCTTCTTTATTTTGACTTTCTCATTTTCCTACTTAAACTTTCCTGACAGAATGACTTTTCGGTTTAAGCTTTATACAAATAAGGTAAAAACTACTGCTTTAGTTACATCAGTTAAAAGAGAGCGTATACTGCTTGTCTCCAGCAAGTTGCTACGAGTTAAATCTTGCTAGCTTAGGGCCGTGCGTATTACGTGCTGCCTGTTAGTCTACGCCAGTAATTTTAGTCTGAAAATTGTTCTCCCTTTCTGTCCTCCTCTCTTAACTTCTAAATCTCCCTCTAAAGAACTATCATCAGCTTTATTCTTCTTCAAGGAAGAATAGAGCAAGGGGGGGCGAAGCTTCACTTCCTCCCTTTCTCTATTCGATTAGTGATTGGCAGCTATACCTGTGCAATCTTTAATGAAGTTCTGGTGCTCCCAACAATTTTACCTGCACCTGTTTATTCTAGTTAGCATTAGTTTAATTTTGCATTCTCTGTTTTAAATTCAAGTCAAAAGTTTTGGGCTTCTTGTGCACCCAAAAGCAAACATTCATGAATCTATTTGAGTGTGTAAAAGTGTATTTTAACCCTTTTCTTTGCAGATTTTAATTACACAACCGGAACTTAGCTAATAGTCACTCTACAGTCCTACTAGGTTCTAGCAGTTAAAGAGCTTTATTTTAGCTAGAACACTACAATGTTACTAAAATTTTCCAAACATTTTTTATTCCATTCTTATTGATTGGTGTTTTTAAAGTGTTACTTGTTTAAAGAAAATCTAGAAATTTAAAAAAAGTATTTTATAAAAATTACTACCATTCCGTTAATGTTCTATATGCGCTTAGTTACGATTTATTGAACAACTTCATAAATTTTATCCTTGGTAACTTATTTAACTTAAAACTTGCAATTAATATACATATAATAAAAGAGTAGTTTTCCTGTAGGTATTGTAATAGTTTGTAAATATGCATTAATGCCAGTAAACGTGATATAAGTTTCGGATAATAATATAAATATAGGTGTTAGAAGATTCTTTTTATCTTGCCATTCTTTTCTTCATCACACTAGTGTATTTTAATCAGTTTATAAATCAAATTTGTGTTTATAACGCAAAACTCTGTTATGAATTGATTACCAATGTAATAAAAAATGTACAAATTAAATACGTTTTCATTAACCACACAGTATCAATTAAACAACAAAATGCATTAATTTTATGCGCGCAAATAAAGTTTTTCTATTAACTCATCTGCAGCAAAAACCTCTATTTAACATCGATATATGTTTAATAATTCTAATTATAAGCGACCTATTAAAATACCTATTTCGCGAGTATAACTGGAAAGATTATCTGTATTATAAGTGATTTCTTCCTTCCCTCCAGCATACCTTCGTGGTGTAACAGTACCGCACTCGGCACGCTTTCAAGAGGTCATGGTTCGAGTCCTGGAGAGGGCATTTCTTATTTTTCACATCTGCTCAAAAAGACATAATGACTCTACAGTGGCGCCCGAACTAAAAAGTGGTTAATGATGATTTTTCGTTTCGCGATTGGGTTTCCTAATACCCGGTCCCCCTTTAAAGGGGAAGTATATAAGGTATTTTCTCCATTCTTTCGGCATGCCTTTGTGGTGTAATGGTTGCATACTCGACGCGTATTCGAGAGGTCCTAGTTCTAGTCCTGGCGAGGGCACTGATCATATTTCACATCTCTACCTTCAAAATAATCAAATGACTCTACAGAATTGCTTGTAACTGCTTCAATAAGTGTACTCAGTGTTTTAAATGATGCTTTTTTCTGTTATTGAAAGTGCTGTTGCATTAATGTTATTAGTTTTTTTTCCCAAGTTCCTTTTTTTAAGAATTTAAATAATGAATTTTAGGCTGTTTGTTCTCTTAAAATAAAATAAGAAGTGATTTCCCATCGTCATATTTTACATTACTTCGGTATGATTCCTTAGAGAATACGATCCTTTTATTCACGTTAATTTACTCTCTTAAAAAAATCAGTAGAGCTTTGATAGAAACGTTCATCAGGAAAAGCGGAAATCAAAATTAATATTATTTAACGAACCAGGCCTTTTTATGATTTAGTAAAAAAACAGTTATTTTCAAAGGAATATGGCTCAGAGAATAAAAAACAATAAAATTTTTACTTACTTGTAATGATATTATAAAATTCTAAATTTTAAGTTCATAATAATTAATTTAATGAAACAAAAAAACTAAACAGAATTTAAACCGAAGACTCGTTTTTGATGTTTAATTCACGCTTATAATGGATGTAGTCTTGCCTGCAATGTCTTCTTGGCTGCAAATTAAAAAATGGCAGTTTTTGAGATGTTTCTCCTTTTCACAAAACTATCCATTAAATAACATTAAATTCAACGGCTTTTAATATATTTTTCTACATAGTGTTAGCGTCATAAAGATTTTCGATTATTGGTTTTCACTTAAGCTCACTTTGCATATTCAGTTATCAGCTAAAATATTCAGAAATCATTAACCGCTGTGGAACAAATGTTGTCAAGGAGGTCATCTAAGATAAACTTTTCTTTTCGAAAGAATAGCAAATACAAAAAAAAAAAAAAAAAAAAAAAAGAAAGAAAAGACAGGCAGATCTCAAGATAGCATTAATAGGTCATCTAAGATAAACTTTTCTTTTCGAAAGAATGGCAAATACAAAAAAAAAAAAAAAAAAAAAACGACAGGCAGATCTCAAGATAGCATTAATGCTTTTTTTTAATTCTTTTTTCTTTTTTTATATTATTATATATCAGAGCTTTCATCATGCTAAGAATTTTTTAAACAAAATAAAATTATTCGTACCCCAATTAATAATTTTTCAAAATGTTAATATCTAACATATTTGTGTCAAATGTTACCCTAATTAGAATATCTGCCCTGACTTAGTTTATTTTTCATCTTATTAACTTGTAGATTCATTAGGTTATTTTGAAGCAGGAGACATGAAAAGTGTGCAATGCCCTCCTACTGACTCTATATCTGGGCCTTTCGAATACGCGCCGAGTGTGCTTGCGTTACACCACGATGACATGCCGGAAAAAGGGAGAAAATAAGGTATATACTCCCCCATTTAAAGGGCGAATGGGAATGTTGGTACCCTAGTCCTCAAATCCTAGTGGTGATGAAAAATTGCCCACATTTTACGTAGTTCGGGCGTCAGTGTAGTGTCATTCAGTTATTTTGAAGCAAGAGTTGTGAAAAATGTGTAATTCCCTCGCCGGGATTGAAACCTGGACCCCTCGAATACGCGTCCAGTGCATCCCCAGTTACAGCACGAAGGAACCCGGAAAGGAGGAAGGACAATCTGTATTATGCCATTGAGGTCCATCAGGTTGTCTTATATTATTATTTTATGTATTTTTATTATATATGTTTTTTGTTATTCGAAGCCCTATAACACTTTGCTGGTTGCCCGGAGTAAGGTTTAATATCTGAATTTAAGGTTTTGAATTTAATGTTTAATTTTGATGTGTGTTGTTTTTGATTTATTTCTGCCTGTTGATAGGAACATGGCTGGGTTGCTGGTTGTCCTCGTTTGTGGCTCTGACTTGGCGCATCCCAAAATAGTCATTGAATCTAATCGATTAGGTGGACTGGGGCTGCGCCCTTTTTCTGTACCTTATATACTCTCTGCCTTATTTACCTTATACGCTGTCTACATTTAACTTATATATTGCAACAAAGCTTGCTTCATCGCAAACTGGCATCAGAAAGATTCATACCTTCAATTATTATAATTAAATACAACTCACGTCAGCAAGGAGCATAAAAATATTATTTTCTAATTAATGATAAGGAAATTAACAATTTAAAAACATAAAAAGGGTACTTTTCTGTTACCGAGATATTCAGAAATGTATTCATTTAAGTATGTATGTATGAGTGCATGTACGCATGTACCTATGCATGTATGTATTTGCGCATGTACGCATGCACCTATATATATATATATATATATGTGTGTGTGTGTGTGTGTGTGTGTGTGTGTGTGTGAATTTGTGAATTTACGTATGTACCTATGTACGTATGTACGTAAGTATGTGTATACACACACCCATACGTACATACATACACTCATATTTGCATATATTTCTGAATCCGGTCCGATAATAGAAAAGCACTGTCTGCAATCTGGGTAGTAGAGAGACTAAATCGAAGTCAACAAAACGCAAATCACATCCGCACTTAGATGACAGAACGGAGGTGTTTTCCACATTTAAACATGAGAAAATTAACGGTAAAATTCCTTATTTATTATAACCTACCTCCTTGATCATAATTCCCCCTTCCGCGATTAGGTGGATTTCTTCTGGTGTGAAGAACACATATGACGATTGTGACAACAATAACAATGACTACTGCACACACGACTGGGACGATTATGCTTAAGTGCTTGAAGAATCTTCTGTCGGGAGAGTTGACAGTGGTCGGAGGTGGAACTGTGCCTGGAATTTAAAATTATTTGACATAAGATATTTCACACTATTTTATACCATAACAGAGAACATAGCATATAAAATTTTAAAAACATCTCGAATTGTAAAGAATACATAACTCTTTAAAAAGTATTTCTTTTTTTATATAAATTTTTAAAAACATCTCGAATTGTAAAGAATACATAACTCTTTAAAAAGTATTTCTTTTTTATATAAATTTTTAAAAACATCTCGAATTGTTAAGAATACATAACTCTTTAAAAAGTATTTCTTTTTTTAAGAAGTTGAGTTCACTCTAAACATTGTATATAATTATGTGGCATTAATTTACGAACGTATATGGGAGAACGTTTTCATCAGTTTGTTTCACAAGCGTATATAACATGCGTATATCAACTATAAATTTTCTGATAAGTGCACTCAATTTAATTAATTATGCGTGTTTGTTAAATTTTGAACGACAAAACATCTTGATAGCGGCTTCATCAATTTGCCCGCTAATGGACAACATCGAGCCATTGCTTTTACACAGCTATCATTTCTTTCTTTCATAAGTTCTACATTTACGTTCTGAATTACTGCTTTATAAAAAATCCTTTGCTTTCATCTTAGCTAATGTGCAGTTATTTCATTTGGCGTACATACAGTACAGACGCCGTACCACCCATTCAGTAAGAATTGGAGGCTCCCTTCAGGAGTGTCCCTAAGCTCAAAATAATGGGCTCCATCTTTCCACAAACGAGAGCAGCCAGCGAATCAGCCGCCCCATAACAATAAATAAAAAAGCTAAATTAAAAATAAAGAAGCACATCTAACACAAACCTACAAACAAAAATCTCAAACATAAAATCACAATATAGAACACCCCAGATATTTAAAACCCATATAAATACAGAATTCAATTTTAACAGAAGATTCCAACAATCCCCCTGTTTTCATAAATAAACTTCATTAGAGCAATGGTACATGATTTGAAAACATTACAATTAATGGTATTTACATTAAAATCAGTAGTGTTAAAAATCTGTCTAACAGGGGCTATTAAACCACAATCAACCACAAAATGCCTACCATTTATCAACTTGATAAGTATTACATAGTTAATTTTCCTGCAGATTAAATCGTTTGAAATAAAACGGAAACCTACCATGTCCATTTAAAACCTGATTAATGTCAATATAGTTCATACATTTCACCTCGTGATTTTAATTATTACCATAAATCCTTTGTTTTTAGGTGAAGAAAACCACCGTGTTTTCCATTTGTTAACATAAAACATCTCCATTCTTCCAATAGCAATTTTCTTCGAATCTGTTACTTCAATATCAATTGCATTAACATTTGAGACCGCCTGTTTGGCCAGGATGTTCACCTTCTCATTACCAATAAAGCCTATATGGGAATTAATCTAATGTAGCTTAATATTTACATATGAACTTAAAAGTTTCTAAATAAAGCTTAATTTCGACAAATAACTGCCGCCCAACCGATATAGTGGCAGCCGGTATAACATCATTTCGCCGCCCAGCTGGTACAGAGGTTAGTGGCTCTAACTGCCATAGCGATCGCTCGGTTTCGAATCCTGAAGAAGGAATGGTTGTAAATGTTCATGCCCACATAGGAGGCAACGGTGGCCACCTGTTAAGTGTTATCATAATGAAATGCCCACCACTTCCGGGACTTATAGTGGTGGAAGGCTGATGGCTGTTCAATAAAGCATCCGGCCATTAAAAAAATATACAGGGAAGGTGGGAAAAGCAGACTGACAGATTCGTGGCTTCGGCATAATTTCGAGGATTACGTATTAATTACTTAACTTAAAACGTAATCTGCATAATATAGTGATTAAAATATAGCATATGATGTAGTAGCATAAATGTCTAAACCTAGACGTACATTACTGAGCATTAAAAACTCCTAAAAACAAAGTCAGTGTTCTAGTAGGTACATATCGCTGCTTCCTGTCATGACACCATCATGTTCAATCAAAGCTTGAGTCCAGATATCCTCATAGATTTCATGAAATTCATCCCCGAATCCAGGAAAGCCTTCTTAGTGTACTTTTCCCATTTAAAGGGCACCCCAGCGGCCGAACGGTAAAATCGCTGAACATTGGTAGTTCCGACCTGGGTTCGAACTTGCTAGAATGGCAGAAAAGATAGGAAAGGAAAGCTCAGGGTTGGTTGGTTGGTTGGTAACGGAGGACGGGGACGCCTGATGTCTAACAGAGGTAAACAGGCATGTGTCCCGCGCCCTCCACTAACCAGGAACAACTCCCTGGGGCCTCAAGAGGCCGCTCGGAGCTTTTTGGATGTTAACAAGATCATTTACATGGCCATACAAGGGCAGATTGCATTCGTTTACCGTTTGACATTTGTGTTGCAATTTGCTATGGTAATTTTGCACATTCATAATAAAATTCTAATAAAAATCAAATTAAATATACAGATACAAAAATACAGTTCAATAATAGGATGAAAATACAGGCTCATAGGGAAAAAAAATAAATAAAAAAAATAAAATAAAAATAAAATAAAAAAAAATAAAAATAAATAAAAATAAAAATAAATAAATAAATAAAAATTAAAATTAAAAAATTCTATTATGCATATCAGAAGAGGAAATTTATACATTTGATTGTACATTATTTGAAAGGTGTCTGTAATAGGCCTTATGTAAATTTTAGGAGTAGCTTATGTGTCTGAGATTTGGAACTGCATGCTGACTTAGTTAGTGTATCATGTCTTGAGAGTTTGGTTAATGAGGAGAGCACAAATCTTGGCCCATATCTTTGAGCTTGTTTAACAACTTGCAAATGTATTTCTGCCGGTTGTGGCTTTATAAGGAAGCGGTGATAGCTTCACTATTGTGATAGGAAGAGGGGAGGTGATTTCCTGCTGTCGATGGCATTCAAAACATAGTGGTCTGGAGCTTCCGTCCGCAGGCGCATATGTCCGGGTTGTTATGCCATGAAAAAGCTCAGGGAGATCTCAGGGAGAAGAACCTGGAAAGCTCAGGGAAAAGAACCTGCAAGTTCTTTTCGAAAGTTACATGTCAGTTATACCTACAGCGGAGCACAAATCATTCTACACTGGCTGGCCCTTCCCACATTATCTTAGAGATTGGCAAACGAGCATCAGAATTGTGTGAATGTGGTGCGGTAGCGATGCAGGATCACCTCTGAACTCCCGCAAACCGATAAAATGCATTTAAAAATGCCTAGCGGTGAATACTGGCCGCAATGGGCGGAGAATATCTGCGGCAACAAGCAGACGAACACTAAAATAGAGGTCGTGATCAGGCTATGCTCAGCAAAGTACTAAGAAATTCTGCCCCTCCCTTGAGAATTCTGTCTTCGCAGCATAATTTTAATAGCAATTCCAATACTACAACAACTGAACATCAACATTAGAGCTCACCCCGTAGAATAGTAACAGGACTGTAAGAGCAAAACTATTGTAATGTAAGCATATTACTATCCAGTTTGTATGTATTTGATAAAAGTAATATTGTAAAGCAGTTTAAAATGACATTGAAAATCCATTCAATGTGCAAATGAATTATAAGTTTACTTTGATTATCTCAGTAAAAGTATTGTAAATATGAATTTAGATAATGCTTAAATGTACACATAACTGTCGTGATTTTATGTAACTACCATATGTAACTTGTACAAGACAATGTCTGAAATTAACATATCTATGCTTATACACAAGCCTTGTATGCCCATGTAATATTTATATTTATATTTTTACACGGAAGAAATATTCCCTTCTGCCGGGATGACTATTAACAACAAAGTCAAGTCAGTGGTTATCTCAGGCGGCGCTCAGACGAACTGGCTGGCTGTTTGGACGTTTTCGTGTTTTTCCCTGAACATAACGTGTACACAAGCCAGTTTCCTTTAAAAAATCCTCCCAGAAGACATCCCTTCTCTTACGCAGACAGCCATTAGTGTTTTCTGCCATAATAAACTAACAAAACCAACCTTCTCTCATATAAAATAACTGCGAGTACGGAAAACATTTCTTTTTCTTGGAATATGAAATTTTTGTGTTTTGCACAAAAATTATGTACTTGCATATTTGAAGTTAAATTTATCTTTTTTATCCGTTGCTTATTACACCGTTAAGTCCTGGATTAGGAATGTCTGAAGAAGCTGAATAATTCAAGTAAGCAAATCCAGTTGGATTTAAAAAAAGTTTGCAAGTATAGCAGCATTTGAAAAGTAATTATTGTAGAAGGAATAAATTTTCCCCAGAGTTTAAACAGATGACACTAGTTATGCAGTAGCGGTTCTGTTGGTAGGTACGGTAACTTCGCTGACGCGTCAGAGCGATTGAAATGGCAAGACGTTAGAAAAGTGTTCTCGGTTGGAGATCCTAGCCGTGATTCTTTCCTTATGGGAAAAAAATATGCCCGCATCTGAAATTCATCGTCAAATCGTGGAAGTTTACGAGAAGAAGCAATAAGCAGACAACATGTACCGAAATGCTGTCACTGTTTTCAGTCGGGCAGAAAGCATGTGGAAAACCTCAACAGGGCAGCGAACGGCCGTCCAAGTTCTTCAATGACGGAAATCAACGCGGCGAGAATTGAAGAAATGATTCAAAATGGTCGACGGGTAACAGTGCGTGCATTAGAATAGCTGGGGTTGAGCTATGGTACCGTGCAACGCTGACGGAACGAGACGGCTTCCGTCCTAATGTGTTGTGTAGCGAATTTAATTTAATTAAGTGATTCATAAAAATCAAAATTTTAATTTGTAATTATTCAAAATTTGAGCTACACAAGTTTGGTTATATTCTTTTTGGGCCTATTAATTCTAGTGTAATACGAGTATATTTTGGCTTTCCGAGTTTACGCGAACTGCGTCTTCAATCTTGTACACGCAAACAATGGATAAGTATTTTTTCCACGTAATAAACTCAGTTTTTCATGTCAAAAATTAATTTGATTTCTTAGTATTTAATATCATTAGTTGCAGAAAAATTAGCTCTTTAATTTGG